CTGACTTGCCCAATGGCCCACTATCGTGTGTGGTCCCTGTCTTTTCACTATGTTCATTGTTCAGAGTTTGCTAGAGAATGATTTTCTGGGCAGGAAAACGCGTTTGCGGCCACCAATTTTCAAAATTTTCCGGAGGAGGAGAAGTGACGGATCATAGCGAGGGCAACAGAGGCAAATGCCTTGGGCCCGGTAATTTGGTGACAAAAAAAAATAGTTTTTTTATATTTTGTAGAAAAAAATAATGAGGACCCATTTCACGAAAATCGTGAAACATATTAGGTAGGGGGACCCCAAAAGGCATCGGCCAGAAGAAAAAAAATGATATTACGATTCCACGTTGGGTAAGTTGGCAGCGGGAAGTTGATATCAGAAATGTTTCCATAACCCGAAACCAGAAATATTATTTCTGGTTGACAGGACGTAGCGGTCTTGTTAATTGTCCAATATTTCCATCGGGCCCCTGTTTCTCACTCTACTTGGGTGAATGCTACCAAAACAAGATTAGACATTCTTTTAAAATTATAAAAGAGAGCAGCAAGAAGTCATCTTGTCACTGGGACCCTGGTACCCCCCTTCGTCCGGTGGAGAGAGCGCCCCACCTAAAAAGTTCACTGTCCCTCCGCAGCCAACAGGCTGGCTACGGGCCTGGAGTAAGGGTTAGGTTTTATAGGGGAAAGTCGCTCTTTTCAACAAAAGCCTTAAATATCTGGAGTAAGGGATGGCTTTTATTGGGGAAATAAATGATGGGTGTTACGGGGGAAAGTCCCTCATTCCAAAGGATGCGTTAAATATATATTTGGGGAAAGTTGCTCATTTCAACAATAGCAATATATATTTTCAGTGAGGGTTTAAAAGGTGAACATCGCTCTTTAAAAGTTTTAACGCATTAGACATCTGGGGTAAGAGATATCTAACGCTCTTTCCAAAGGATGCGTTAGATATCTGGTGAAAAGTCGCTCCTTTCAACAGAAGCATTAAATATCTGGAGTAACGGGTTGTTTTTTTGGGGGAAAGTCGCTCTTTTTCAACAAAAGCATTAAATATCGGGAGTAAGGGGTGGATTTCATTGAGAAAAGTTGGTCTTTTCAACAGAAGCATTAAATATCTGGAGTAAGGGATGTGTTTGATGGGGAAAGTCGTTCTTTGCGGCAGGGCCATTAACTATCTTGAATGGAGTTTTATTGGGGATAGTCCTTCTTGTCAACGGAAATGAAATGAAATAAAATGGGGTTTAACGTCCTACTGTTCTGCTCCGAACTGGGCTTATGAAGACGGGCATACGCCATACACTGTGCTATGAGGGAAATTTTGTCCGGACAGCGGCCCTACGGCCTACTCTTATATCGAATTCCAATGTGTACACAGGACCTCGGGTTTTCGTCTTATCCGAACGACTAGACAGCTGTGCTTGCCAGCCCTTCCGTCCTGCATCACTGACAAGGGAGAACTACGCCGGAAAATCTGGATGAACTTTCTCGGCCAATGCAAGGATCGAACACCCGACCTCCAGGCTATGCGAGCCAGCGTCTTACACACAAAGCGACCGTGATGCCCGCTTGTCAACTGACGTATCAATGTCTGGAGTAAGAGGTTGCTTTATTCGGAGGAAAATGTGTAGGCTTTAGGTGTACAATTCGGTTCGTTTCAGTAGCTGGTGTGTGTGCTAGCCATCGACGGTCTTGTCAAACCTTCAAAGGCTAATATCTTCGTTCGCAATAGAGTAATTTGAATGAAATTTTCAAATAATTTATTTTACATTATCTATTTTCGAACTATTACAGCAAGAATGGCTAGCTCTTTATCTAAATCTTACATAATGTATCTTTAATTGTACTAAATGTGCACTAAAATATGAGTGACAGAATATGGGTATATAAAAAAAGAGTTATAGAACCAAACCATAGCTGGTTCTATGTGTCAACAACATGTTACCAGATTACACGTGATTGGAAATTTACCTATTGCATCATTTGGTTTAAATGACCAATCATATCAGTAATTGCACAGGTTTAGGGTCATGAATATCATAGTCTGTGCGTGATGTCCATAGGTCCTATAAAAGAAATCATGGCAAACTTTTAAGCCAGATTACCATCTGAGTTCCTACACAGCAGACAGACTCTGGTAGGGAAAAGATGTAACAGTTTCTATCAGCAAATTCGCCCAGCGAGTCTGGCTGGATGAGGTTTGAGAGAATGACTTTAGTATTGTAACCTATACTATGCTTGTATCCATGTATCCGGTTATGATATATAAAATGTAAAAACGAACTGTTGCATTGTTATTCTTGGTAAGACAAATAACTGAGATAGATAAAAAGAAGTAAATACACGATGTAAAGTGGAAGCAAAGACTGCTATAGAGAGACAAATTCTAGACGCTCACAAGGCTATATACTAAGATATGTAGTAAGAAAAGATGCATCGGTTATACGAAGAGAGACCGGTTTGGGATAGCCCACTTTCCACGTCTGACAGAAAGGCCCATGGTTAACAAAATTTGAGGCAGGCTCCTAGCATCAATATTAATGAGTTGGACCATATATTCCTGAGCTATGAAGCCGTAATCCGCCAAACGGACACAAATTTTAATTTGGCAGATAAAAATGGTCGCATTTGCTTAATATTGAAACTAGGGACCACATTCAGACTTGTAGCTCAAATATTGCCCCCAAAAAGCAGAAAATGCCGGATCCAACACCACTGCCTTGGTAATTTCAAGCAACGCTGCAGAGGTATCTCCCAAAATTTCAGGTTCCTGGCATTAATAGAATTCAATATAAAGCATACATACAAGACACTTTTACGCGAAATATCTCCATTTTTCTTGAATCTAATAAGCTGACATTTTCACACCCACGAATAAATATATACATGTATATATGTACTCAATGAAATGTAACTGTTCATTTAAATTTGGTTTCATGTGGTATTCCCAATGTTTGATCCAGCTAATGTTCAACACAATGTCCACAGGGTCCAACTTTTGGGGGTTTCTGGCGGGGCTTTGACAGCTGTATTAGAAACCAAAAGTACACTTAGAATTTATCAGAAAGAACAATAATATTATTCCCAATAAATTCACTGTCTTGGAATTTACGAGTATTTTAGTTTAGTAATGTTAAAAATATGTCACGAGTCTGTAAATTAATAACGATGTGTTGTGTATCCTATTTAAAAACTGTAATTTGTCAGCCATACAAAAATTACAAACGCCTCAATGGATTATATACAGTGCACCTTAGCTATATTTTAATTACATCAAAGGTGTATTAGAAATTACTGTTGTTCTGAAATAGATTCTGTTTTAAAAAAATCATGACGTGGGATTCAATATTGAATAATAAATGACCAGAAATATTTAAAATGAAACTATATAAGTTTAAAACTATGACTTTAAAATATAGTGAAAATGTCGAAATAGATCACTGCAGGAATAAATTGTTGTTGCTGAAATAGGTCCATATAAAAGACAGTAGCACAAATCTTTAACAATTTTACATATCCGATGTATTGAAGAATAGCTAATTAACAAGCCCTTAACAAATATAAATCATGCTATACCATTATTCTCAACCCATATCCACAATTAACGATTTGTTTTTCAACTTTTTAGATTTCGAAGCGCTCACAATTAAGCAGAATTAACAGTAAAAACAAAATCACAAATTACTACTGCTTATTATGACCAGCGGCTGCCAGACAGGATACGCCCACATTTTGCAAGAGATGGATAGAGAACGAGCTAAACAAAAAGCGATTTTTCGTACAATCAATTAGGGCCATAATTCAGGAAATTACATTCCGATATGCGCGAATATCGACAGGAACCAAGATCTTTGGGTTTATTCAAGTTTCATCAAAATCGAACCAAAATTGTGACTTCTTGAGGGTCCACAACCTTGATATACCATATATTTACACTATTTACGTACGAGGGGTGGACATTTTGTCCGGCAGTTTTGGTTCGATTTTCACAAAATTCGAACTCGGCCGTCATTAGGGTGTAACGGTGAAATATTCAAACGTTTTTTTTTTCAATCGGATAAAAGTTGTGACCTCTAAAGGGACCACAAGCTAAAAACGCAATTTTTCGTACACTCAAGGGCCATAATTCAGGAAGTTAGGATCTGATATGTCCGAATATCAAAGGAACCGAGATCTTTGGGTTATACACATGTATTTCAAGATTCATCAAAATCGGTTCAAAATTACTTAATACCAAAATGGTTTCAAAGATTGGAGTACTCTCAACGCTGATCAATATTCCCGAATTTGATTCTTGCTAAACAAAGACGGACACATACGCCATTGCGGGGAATTTTGTCCGGACAACGACACTATACGGCCTACACCTGTTTCGAATTCCAACTGTGAATTGTTCCTTAATGTATGCACGAGACTTCGAGTTTCTGTCCCATCCGAACGCCTATAGACTGTCCCTGTTAGGCCCTGCACCACTGACAAGGGGGAACTACGCCGATATTGTGGAAACGCACCTTTCCACAATAAGAAAAGAAAAAAAATATTCTAGTTCTTTGAAACTTGGTATATGCAAATATACTTTTTTTTCATTTTTATATAATACCATGTGCCTTTTGGGTTCTTATAGCATTTTATATATTATTGATTAATCGAAGTTGATTGCACGTTGGCCTATATTTTTTCCTGTGTCAGGATAATTCGAGCAAAGGTAGTAGGCCTATATAAAACGCAATTCTTCTTTGGGGCTTGACATGTATGCCTACATTTGATGTTTATATGCATTTACGATCGACCAGCCGAGTGGAGCGATGCGAAAAAAATTGATATAAGAAGTATTATTATAACCTAAAAATAAAAAACGGTATGTAGTGAGCTGTTTTCATATATTTCACGTTAGCCTAGACTGTGTGGTGTCCTATTTTTCATAAAAGCGCGCTTCAAGGCCGGTAATCGAGACTACACTCTTCATACGGTAAGGAGGAAATGTGGTACCATTAGTAAACACCACAGTACAGAACGAAGATGCAACTGTGAAGATGATCTAAATTAGTATTAGAGATTTGTTTTGGAATTTTGCAGTTGGGGAATTATTATTCCATCGTGGGAGTTTTGAGGTGAGTCTGCGAAAATCTTCAAAATAGTATTATTGGTATGCATGTGCCAAAATCCAAAGCCAAGAAGAGAAGAAAGTTGACTAAGCAGTCAACTGGTTATGCCATACGCCACGGCACGTAATAATAAATAAAACACTGTCACAGTGCATTCCATGACCCACATTACTATATCCACAGAAAATCGATGTTTTGGAACATGGTAATTGCAGTAGAGCAGTGTAAAGTACTGTAGTGCTGAGTTGTAGCCTAATCCTAATGTTTTGGTTGTGCAATTCTGTCACAGCAGAAGCTAGAAGGCCAGGGCCAGCTAAAATTCAAATCAGAAATAGATGATATGAAATGGTTAACTACAGATTACTACCAGCTATATATATATATTATGGTTACGTGATATAGCTTATTGTTGCAATGAATTATATTAACTAACTTAACAATATGATTATATCATTTCCAATTTAAATAGTTTATTGCCAAGGCCGGATTAAGACCTTAGCCCTAGGCACTAAAAATAATATGGTGCCCCAGCCCCACCTTTCAAAATGAAACAACGGTTAGATATTGGAATACCTTTTTTGAATTTTCGAGATTTTCTTACTGCAAAGTCATTCATTGTCATGTTTTTTGTACCATAGTAAATCGGGCACAGGAAAAATTCTGTGGTGACCCAATTCCCTTGATACGCTAAGCACATTATTATTTTGCTTAAAGATTTATTATAATATTTAGATAAAATTAAAACACAGATCCTATTTCATTTCTTTTTTTATAGTTCAAAATTTCGTTTTACTTGTTTTGCTACTCTAGGATCTGGAAGAGTTGTTATATAACTTCCGTCCTGATTGATGTAAGGGATTAGCCAATGAAACGGTCTGTTAGGCGAATTCTTGGCATTTGGTGTACGGAACTGTGGGTAACCGTCTAGAAACATCAATGCTGATTGGTCAATCAACAGGCTGATGTCATAGGGTCAAAAGCCGTTCATATGACCCCTGACACAACCTTCCACCACAACCGGTCAGATCTTCATGTAGTGCATGAAAAAACGAAACGAAATATATATCTGTATTTTAATCTGATTGGTTCTTGCTATATTATGTATGCCAAATTAGATAATTCAGAATTATTATATTCAATATTTTATTGCCCCCCATCTTTCGAAGATGAGCTATAGTATACAACTTTATAAAACCAATCACAAGATTATGTGGCTTCAATACGTGTGGATTATTCTGTACTGGCCCGGGGGGGTTGGATGGCCGAATGGTTAGCACGCGTGCGCTGTATCATACGGTCTTTCATTGAGTCAACTGGCGGGGTTTCGATTCCCCGGTTGTACGTGACAAGGAGTAGGGTCGCCTGTCCAACCTCGTGGGTTTTCTTCGGGTCCTCCGGTTTCCTCCCACTGCTAAAGACCCCTACGCGCAAGCGAATTATTGAAATAAAAAAATTTAACCATATGTTAGTCCTGAAATGACCTAGTTTGTGTCGAGTGGACCTTAAACCCGATTTATCTCTGTTTCTGTACTGGCCGTACTGCCCGTACAATTGTATAGTTACATATTGGAGGTCGATCTTAGCCATATTTGAAAATTGGGTTTTGAAAAAAAAAGGCTCTCTTTCTCCGGCATGCAAAATGACCGTTGGGTCAGCTCTAGTTATGGTCATTTTCCATAGCCCTAGTCCTGAGCGGCATATATGGCCGACGTGGAACCCATGGTTTAACGTCCTACTGTTGTTCTGTTACAAAAACTAAAGTAAAATTATGTTATAATTATGTGTATGGTAGTGCTACATGTATAGCTAACATTACAATTTCCTACTGACAATAACCTTTGGAGATTTAGACTTATACCGTAACTAACTAAGATTTTAGCTTTGGAAATTCGATCGAGAAAAAATTATCAAAACATATATGAAAACCTATCACATTCTGTGTGAGGAAAAAAACATTGATGCATCACACTTTGTGAAAGAAATTGTTTGCTGCAAACAAGGAAACAGTACCAGTATCTGATTCTTAAAAGAAAAAACCTTATTGGGATACTATTTAATGTAGTAGTCAGTGCTATGAATACACCATTAATTTCTATCCTCTAATAGTTTGTTTATTATTGATAGTATTAGTATTTTATTGAATCAACACTGATTATCTGTGTTTGTGAATGTTTATGTTTTTTTAAGGTTTTCTGCATCGGATCAATATTTTACTGTAAGGAGAAATTAAACAAATTTTAAATATGCTGACATGGATGGTTACATAGTTTTGCACGCAACTCAATAATGCCATCACCCATTCGTGACTGGAAAAGTTTCAATTAATGCTTATCGAAGATTCATCTTCTTCGTCAAAATACAATTAGGTATATATCTATTTCTAAAGAGAAATTACTACGTAACAGCAATCAATTTCTAATTCTGAATCTTGTTTGTTGTCTAAAGATGTGCATCAGAGGCGGAAAGAAATTTCTATAAACTACATACCGGCATATGTTTATTGTAAATTATCAAAATGGTTATCTATTTCACCATCTAGTGTTCTCTTCAAATAACTTTCCATGTTAACAAAAACACAAAAAAGATAGACAATTCAAAATGTTAAATAAAAATAACATAAAATAATGACAAAGTAATAGAGATGAATTGACCATCGGTGACAATATCAGAATTCGATGATAATTGTGTTATAAGCACATTTCAGCATTTGCTGATACCTGTCCATTTTTACCAATGTTTTGACCAATATTCAACTGAATTGAAACAGATTTCTTCAGCCATTTTCCATAAATTTTTGAGAAGTTAGTATTTGGATAAAGATTTATAATTGCCTTTATCGACATTGAGCATTTTCATAATTAATAGTAGTACCAGTACTATTACCATACACAACCTACAGTGTTTAATTCTTCACTGATTTTCATTTAAATTTTTTGGAATGGTTAGTATTGGTCTAAAGTTGGTGCAGATCAATTTTGACATTTTCAGAATAAGTTCCAGAAAACCTGATTTGTGTTACTGTTTTAGAAATATGTACCATTGGGGTAAAGATAGTGTCTATCGATTTTCAGTATTTTTGAAAATGTAGTTCTTGAGTTGTTGAGAATGACTTATATGATATATATTTATATGATTGATTTTATACGCCCACATTTTCATGGATTATGGCCCCTGATTGTTCGAAAAATCCTGTTTTTATCTTGTGGAAACTCTAGAATCACAATTTTGATCCGATTTTGATGAAACTTTTAAATTTTTGTTTATATCACAAAGATCTTGGTTCCTTTCGATAATCACGCATGTATTCGAACGTAACTTCCTCGATTAAGGCCCCTGATTGTTAAAAAAATCGCATTTTTAGCTTGTGGACCAGCTAGAAGTCACAATTTGTATTTGATTTTAGTGTGTTGCAAATATTTTTATTTCTCGCAAAAGAAAAAATATGCGACAATCCTTGTTGACTCCCTGGACGACTTAGCTGCTGTGGTCGTATGCTCAATTGCCTGGCAACCTATCATTTTACTGTTTGGAATGGTGATAGTCTTTTGTGTAATAAAACTACTGTACCGGTATTTGATAGGAATTTGAAACTGATTTATGGACAGAGACCTGCAGGGAATTAGCGGAAATAAGATGATTTTTTTGTTGTTTTATTTGGAATCAAGTTAAAACTTGACCTAGTTGTCATGTAATAAAGCTACATAGTAGAGATTGTGGTAAGAGTTTGATGGCTCTGAAAATATCTTGAAGTTTTTGTCTTACTGTAATAGTCTGGTTATTGTAAATTTTTGATTTATGTCGATCAGCATAGAAAGAGTAGTGTTTAGAATGTGGAGAAAGTACTGAATCAATATTGCGGAAACCTGTTCTAGATAAAGCAGAAAGCACTGAAGCAAAACAGTCTGTGCAGTACCAATTTAATGTCCAATACAGAAGGAGTTCCAATCAGATCGTTGGGGAGGCCATCACAGTCAAACCGTTATTAGCTGGATAAACTAGTTTGTTGACCAGCTTGTTAAATAGTGGATTATTCTGTGTTATTGTTAGTGTTAAACTTGTCTCCGCTATTATACGGTAAGATTGCTTTTTATCAGTAAGTCAAAGAGGTCTTCACTCATAATTGCTTTGTCTATTTTCTTTAGGATTTATAAGAAATGTAGGAATACTTCCAAGTAGCTTTATGTATTGGCAAATAAATTGTGGCTTTTTCTCCTATTCTTCTTGCAACATTTAGTTTAAGTTAACGTACATGCATCGTTGAAATTTGGAGCGAGTGTAAGGTGAGAACATTGATTTCAAATGATTTGTCTTCTAAAATTCAATAGTCAGTATATGCAATTGATTTAGATAATAAGTGAATATATAAATACTGAATAGTATTTAATTTGTTATTATCCTTAGGACTGTTGTCAGTTTGAAAAAAAAAGCCTGAAATAATACAGTGATAGTAGGATAAACGATGTATTATAAACCGTGGGATTATACCAGAAATAATATGTATTCATAGTGTAGAAAACTGTATATTAGTTTTTCTAATTCACACATTTAAACATTGTATATTACAAGATTGTACATGTACTATGTTTTATAGGGCAAAATACATTTCACATATATTGATTTGTATTGGTCTACCGGTATATATTGTGGTTTACTGTATATATATATATCTATTTTCTGTGGGGTTTTATTTGATGAAAAAGTTAGTATTTTAGTTTCTTAATGAAAATGACAGCTGAACATGGATAAACACTAACAAAAGACAAATCTACAATCTAATGTGACAATTTTTTTTTTCCCCAAATTTATGTTACACATTTACTCAATAACAGAAAATATTACATAATACATGCAGGTAATTTTTTTAAACTTAAAGATACATTAGTTAAGAGTTTTATCAAGAATTGGCCATTCTTGCTATCATAATTCAAAAATAGATGATAAAAACAAGAAAATGTTGAAAATTTCAGTCAAATTACTTTGTTCTGAATGGAATTGTCACTGTTGGA